ATATAATTCTCTAACCGTCAAATGACTTTTAAACAAAATTTTTAGTTTTAGCTTAAGTTTAGCTTAAGTATATTAGTTACGTCTAATATAAAAACAAGGAATACTGTGTAAGTCCTGACCAACCACACTTTGTCTAAAAAATAACTATTTTATAAACGAAGCCTCTGTACAAGATGCGTATGTTATGCAATATGCTGAAATTGGACAGACAATTACTACTAAACCTATAGTGAACAGTGCTGACGGCGCGCACATATACGTAGACTAGACGCAGCTCGATGTCGGTCGAATGTCTAGACTCTCGACGACCTACGCCCCCACACGTCTACGTAGTTACCTCTGCTACGCAAAGCTCGCTTTGTATTAGCTTGCGTTTTATTTAAAAATGTGATAATGGCTTTAGGTACATTACTCCAAATGGAAACAAATTTACTTTAAGGTAAAGTTTATTTTTAACCAACTTAAATAAGAAGGAAGTTATGTATTTAAATACATTATTTTAAAGGCATTTGATCGCCAATCGGTGAAAATATTTTGAGCGTTTTGCCTGTAAACTATAGTAGATTTTGTTTGTAATTTTTACTTTTTTGAAGACAGTTTAAGACTATACTGGTATAATTGATATAGTCTGTTGTTTTCATTATTATGAAAATATCACATATGAACATAATAAATTATTTTATGTTATAATAGACTTTCATATGTTACATGAATCCAGACAACAAAGAAAAATAACTATATTTTTATATTTTATTGATTATGTTTTTTTTTTTACGTTTGACGGTAGGAATCTTTTATGATTTCATATTAGATATGAACCATACTAAATATATACCAAAGTTTATAGTTAAATAAATGCTATTCTAATATCAATATAAAACTTTCTAATAATTTCTTATTCAGTTTGTAGATAAACCTTTTAGTCGTGTTTCTTTACCAAGCAATTGGGTTTTAATGATTATGTTATCATTTGAAAAGTGAAATTTGACAATGAAATTAAAGCAAACGTATAGAAGCAGACGGCCTATCATGAAATATGTTCGAAAATTGCGGGGCTGAATTAAACACAAATTTGATGTTTAAATTACATAATATATGCTCTTTAAAAATATTAAAAACGTTAAAAAATCGTTCCTTTGGATTATTATAGTAGGATTTACATAGAACGACATGTTCATTTACTGGGCCGATTTTGATATGGACAAAAAGACGAAATTGAGTCTGAAAATTTGGAACTTCATATTACCATTATATAAATACCTTTCTTTTGGAATGGTAACACTTGATGGATATCAACGGCATGACAATATATTCTGTGATGTCCATAATATCGTTTGTTGGTTCTGACGCAGAGTGTAAACCATCATCTGTTACCACTCTCTGTCAGAAGCAATGAGATTAGAAGTATTATTAAAATATGAAAACCATATTTCAATAATTATTACACTAAAGAAAAACTTGAACTCGTGCTTTATACGCCATACAGCAATACTAATGAGATTAATTTTCGTTGGAATCTATACATATTAAATACAGATCTATATAATCCTATAACACAAGACGTGTAATCAGCGTAACACCATTTTATTTTATTATTTATAATGACTGTCTACAAATATGTTAAAACCTTATACATATACTTGTACTACAAGTTTATTTGTATGTAACCGTCTAGACGCAAGGACGTCTTTGCGGAAAAGCTAAGTAAGAATAGGTATAGGTAGATACACCGAACACACGATCGACGCGAATTTCACGACCCTACGGCTTTAATATTGAATGCCGACAACGTAGGTACAGAAATTGGGTCATGCAAAGGAATACTAATTGCTCTCTATTTTAAATTGAAAAAATCTCTATCTTTTTTCATAAAATATCACATAATTTTCTTTGAAAACGACGAATAAAGAATTATGTAACTAATTTAATATTTCGAATGTACCTATTTGACAACGAAAATGTTGAAAATGCATGTGTGGGGCAAAGATATTAAAGTAAGAAATGACCATATACGAAGAAGCACCAGTAAGTGATACGTGAAGTTTATCCTTCAGGTCAATTAATGCATCATGACGAATTCATCAGAAATTATAAGCACGCTTATTTCCAGTGAGAATCTCCACGTGATCTCCACGCAAGGTAAATAAGCTTTTAGTTGCTGATCTACGTGACCAGAATATGATCACTTATCGGGATTTAAAATAGTCTATGTTGTTCTCCATCTCATAGAATATTTGTACACTATATGCAATAACGATTGATAAACAATACACTTTTACATTTTTAATATTAGAAAGTATATTATACTACCAATGAGTTAGTTAATAGTCTGTTAGTTACCAGTACTAACAATCTGGTTTAAAGGATGATGATATTATATTATTGGAAACCGTCTCAACGACTCTGAGATACAGAATCAATTAAGTGGATCACAAACATTAGTTTACAAGGTGTCAATTATTTTATTATATTTTAAAGTATATATAAAAAGGAAATTAATTCTCAATGCTGGATTTATTAGTTTCTATTTTGTATGTCATATAACATCTCCATCGACACAATTGGATCTAGTTAAAAATGAAGTTTTAAGGTAAGTGAACATTATTAAGTAAATCCAAAATTTCTACAAAAACGTACAGACTAATCTGTGCCAACAAAATAAATAAGCAAAACTGATTTATTGATGAATTCTATGCTAGTAGAAGGAAAAATTCTCTAGTTTTCGTAATTTACTCCTTTACTTTTTATTATTATATTTTAAATAATTTCTATAATAACAAAGTGAACGGTTTATTTGTCCCTTAATTATTCAAGCACAAGGTTCTGAATGTATCTACCTCCTGTTACCACCACAAAAGCAGAAAAAATCCACACGTAAATGATATAACTACTTATTTGTAATAAAGTAGTTTCCAAATAAATGGAGTAACCTTTACACAAACATATATTTTAACATTTAATTAAAAATTCAAACCTAAGTTGCTGTTTAGAATGATAACAAAAAGTTACTTCAATCGAGAGGGCATACAACGGTAAAGGCGCGACGTGGCGCAATCGTCTAGACTGTAGACTAAACGTCCTATAATATCATCTCAAGCAAATAATATTCGTATTTTTCAACAGTTAGAAATTTAAATATCTAATAATCATGCTCCCTATGTTATTGTAGTATTCTCTGATACAGGTACGTAGATACCTACATAATATAATATGACAGTGATAAAATTGAAGTAAAATGTAGGGATATTTTATGTGCCTGCCCGGAGGGACCATGACGTTGTTCTCGAGTGAGAGACGAGAGTACCTATTAAGCTGTTATATCTCCCTAGCAACTACCTCATTATTCCGTCGTAAGACTCCGAATAACACCGGATTTATGAAAAATAACCAAACAATTGGTTCAATAAAATACTAAAGGTGTTGATCTTTAGTTGTTGCTAACTAAACTAATTTTACACGCGACTTCGCCTGCCTCACCTAAATAAGAAGTTTTTGCGTGCGTATATGAATGAATAAAAGAATGAAAACTCTTTATTCCTTCAAACCTTTAAAGACTGATTACAAAGATCAATACAACATGTACATAAAAAATAATAATAGACTATACTTAAATACCCAATTTTATAGTGTTTGGTTGACTCGTTAATGCGCTAAATAGTAACAAGCAATCGAATAAATTCAATTTCACATCTATACTTATAATAAATCTGTAGAGAGGTCAATTCTGTACATGAAATATATTTCCAAAATAACTATCAGAGGGTGATAAGTGATCGATACTGATGCCAAACATGCAATCAGTAAAATTTTTGTCTGTCTGTCTGTATGTTCGTTATAGAAACAAAAACTACTCAACGGATTTTAACGAAACTTGGCACAATTATTCTTCATACTTAGGGCAGGTTATAGTATACTTTTCATCACGCTACGATCAAAAGGAGCAGAGCAGTGAAGGGAAATGTGTCTGTTACATCAAAACCACTGAACCGTGAGGAAAGACATAGGCTACTAGTTATTTTACGAAAAACGACGGAAACGCGAAGTCGCGGGCTACAGCTAGTTTATAATATTAGAAAGAATAAGAATAGATTTGCCTACAGTCTACTTTATTAAATACATATTTTAAGTATTTTCTGTCTACCTTGGTAGATAAGTAGTATTATTTTTTGCGTGAAATAACTAAGGAATCAATACTTTATGACCTACGACCGATTTTTAAATATCGAAAATTACAATGCCAAAAGTGGTCTAGCCCTTGTCATCATAGAATTCACACGAGTAATAGTAATATGGTGACTTTAATAGCCAAGATTGACATGTGATTGAGATGGCAAACAAGCATACGGCCCACCTGATGATAAGTAGTTACCGTAGCCTACGAATGCCTACAATTAGGATAAACAAGGATTATAAACCAGGGGCATCACACGCGCATTGTCAATCCTTTTTTGAAGACCTCCGTGCTGTTGTCTCTTGGAAAAACCTCGACAGGGAGCTCATTCCATAACCTGAGCGTTCGTGGAAGAAAACATCTCTGAAACTGCGCTGTACGCGGCCGTCTTTTGGGAATGGGGATAAACTCCCTGTCGGTGGCGAGCTGTCCGATGGTAGAAAGTAGCTTTGGGCAACATATTGAACAATTCCTCTAAGCACAGTCCGTTTTATAAGCGGTAGAAGACGCAGAGTGAGGCAAACTCACTCCTAAGACCTAAGAAGAGTTCGATAGCGCTCGTAAGCCTGGATCATTGACAAAAAAAACCAAGACTTCATTATAACAAATATTTGAATAGGAACCAACACAGGAATACCTATCTAAACCTTATCAATTGCAAATTGTTAAAAATGATTTAGAATTAGCAACGTAGTAACGTAAAATAGACAAATTTCCAAAGTTAAAAACAAGCACATAACCACCTATATTTTTAAAATCGGTTAAAGAAACCATTTTTCTTTCGTTATATACATGTATGTATCGATTATACTTCACTTAGCAACGAAATAGTAACATCTTTAAAGTAACATACATCCTATCAACAGTGTGCAAACTACAGTAACGCTTGTGTGATAAATGGAGAACGCAGCTCCAGCTCCTGCAACCGTGGGCGTCCGTCGAGAACCATCCGTCGATCCTGTCAAAGCTCAAGGAATTCTGTAAGTATTTTAAAATTTATATCAGGCAAATTTTTTGTTTAATTCGTTGATCGGGGTATATCTATCGATCAGAATAAAAAGTAGCCTAAGTCCTGAACCATGTCAAATATGAGTAGCATGTGTATGCCAAATTTCATGACATTTACAGTTCCCCCAAGGTCTATATTAATTGTATCTACTATTAATAAATAAATACGTGGGACACTCAGAAAGCTTATTGACACTAAAAAAAAATTTCTATTGATAAACATATTTTTATTACATCTTTTCAAAGTACTCTCCACCAGCGTCTTTACAAAGTTTCATGCGTCTGAACCAGTTTTCGAAACACTTTTTCCAGTCCGCCGCAGACACCTCGTTAACAGCCTGCTCAAACGCTGAGAGCGCATCATCCGGCTACGACAATTCCCTTTGAGCTGATTTTTTATTTTTGGGATTAAGAAGAAGTCACACGGTGCTAGGTCAGGGCTGTAAGGAGGGTGACCCAGGAGTTTGACTGGTGTGCTGTCTAGGATATCCCTCGTTTTGATTGCGATGTGGGCGGGCGCATTATCGTGGTGGTGCAATAGCCCGCGGAGCCCTGTGTTAGGTCGCTTATTGCTCAGAACACAGAAAACTTCTGCCAAGCATTTGGTAGTATACCATTCAGTGTTAATGCTTCTTTGGTTTCGTAAAGGAATTGACACCAAGTAGCCAGTCAAATTGAAAAAGCTCGCGATCAAAATCCCGTCGACTGGCGCTTTGTTTCTGGATCGTATTGATAAATCCAGGATTCATCACCTGTAATGATGTCGTAAACACGCCGAAATGAAAATCTGCTTCATATCCAAAATTAGTCGACCGCACTTAAATTCATTATACCAACGATAGACGGTTGCCTTAGAAGGGTCTTTATCCATAAACGCCATTTGAAGTCTATCGTACGATTCGTCCGGTTTCAGGCGACACTTAAAATGGTAAAACATCATAGCGCGAAAATGTTCTCGACGCAAATCCATTTTTCAATGAGACACGGTAATTTTAATTAGCTCGCAAAAAATGTGGAAAGAAGTTTTGAATTTAGAACATACCTATTTTTACTTATAAGTAATCATGTTTTTAAATTAATTATAACTGGTCAGTCTCACATACATAAAAACTTTTTTTCGTAATATTTTCTGAGTGACTTGGTAAATTAATATAAGTAGATATATGTGTGTTCACCTAATACAGACAATAGGGGAGAAGGGATTGTTTGTAATGAGAATTAGCAACCCTATTGCAAGCAATATACCCTGTCAGGTCGACCTTCACGCGGTTCCTCCTAGTTATCATTATGATTGATTTATTGTTGAATTCGTCACGATGAGCCAACTCATTTGTTTCATCTTTACCTATCATCCTTCACTGTTATTCAGCCAGTGTATACTAATAGCGTAATAACGCAGGTGGGATTACCATTCTATTATCATCTATTTAAGTAAAATACAGACAATAACATACGAGTACGACAAACATTGCCATATAATTTTGAATTGTTTGTTCCACAAGAAAATAAACTTTAATCGTGAAAAATCTAATAATATAAACACTAGATTTATAAAATTTATAATAATTATAATAATTGCGTAATATTTAAAATATACGTATCGCTAATACATATATTCTATTTCACACAGGACAACAGTTACTAGAAAAGAGCGAGATGCAGCAAGGCTATGGCACCAAAAATGGGGTTTCTATACACAACTTCGTGAGATACAAGAGAAAGAAGCACAAAAGTTAGGTAATTATAGTTACAGGCATAACGATATTTGAACAAATAGGACATCAGATCATCAAATATCAGTTTAGTTCTGGAAGAGAAAATAATAGTATTGGTAATTTAAATGGAAATCATAAATTTTCGTAATATTGCCCAACTTCCACATGTTTAATTAAAAACCTAATTTTATGTTTAGCTCGTAGGATGCCTGGTGTGCTAATTATATAATATTTTAATTAAACTTTTAATTGATTATAAACCTTTATTATTTCAAAGGAATGCCATTAGAAGAGTATAGAACAGCTGTTCACTCGGTGAGTTGTAAACCAGAACCTAAAAAATATCCCGTTGTAGTAGATCCCTCGCCAACGCCTCTGCCGCGTACATCCTCCGGTAAGACATGTACTCGAATTATTTCTAATAAAAATCCGGTTAAGTTATATTTCTTTTTTATATTTTAAAGAAATTCTATCACAAATTAAAGGTATGGTCGGTCGACGAGCACTGTGCCCTCTAGAAAGATATGGAAGATTGGTAATGACGAGCCGGGATTATCCGACCAGGCCACCACTACCTCCTGGTCAAATTTATGACCCATACAAGCAAACTTTGGTATTTTTAGGGTTTGTATCAACTTAATAAACCTGCCAAATCAGATATTTCCATAATATCCTTACACTAAATAAAAATTTTGTGTCCTAAATAAAGTGTGACCATGTAATTTTGTAGTTCTGGGCATTTACCTGGATTGGTTTAATATTTTATTAATATATGGCAATAATTGCAGAAGCGTTACTGGTGACCCTATTTCATACAAACTACCAACGGCGAAGTGTGAAGTCCAAGACGAAATGTGGGCACGTCCGCATCAGCTGCAAGTGATGCCATTTTGCCAGGAAACTTTAGAAAAAACTTTTGTTAAATTTTGAAAACATGTATCAAAAAAATATTTACTTACTAAGTTATTAGTTACTAATTATAATTACAAAAAGGCTGAATTTTTAAATTTAAAAATCTCTTAACTGTACATTGTCATTTGTTTCATGATAAAGATTTTGCGTTGTATTTTGATCGTCTCTTTACATTGTATTTAAAATTTCAATAGGTAAATATATTTTGTGATATGTTGGTGAATCGTTCATGCCAAATGTCGGTCACAATGTGGGCGATTACAGTCAACAATGAGTGTTTCTGTTCTATTCGGGAACACATAGTTCTATAAAGAGTGTCGTCGATAGCGTTCATGGAAAAGTTACAATTTAGTTAATGGTTAATGGTAAGTATATAGAATAAATAACGAAAAATGCTTAAGCCCGACTATAATACTATATAATTTGCACAATAACAATATTACTTACACACAAGTGCTTACTGCATAGATAAGTTGCAATGTTTACTTTTATGTTAAAGTTGTTTGCCGCAAACTGTAAGATGTTGAACTAATAAAGTACCTAGTTGTTATTCTCATGTATAAGTATTATGTAATGTTACTGTTGGTTTCTTCAGGGTCAGCAACGCGCACGTGATATGCCTAGTGTTGCGGGCGTCCCTAGGTTACAGTAACCGTTTACCATCAGACGGGCTCTATGCTCGTTTGCCACCTTCATGGTATAAAAAAACTTTTTCCACGTTCATTAATTTCAATATTTTGACTACCAACTCTTGTGACAGATGCAAATAAATATATTATAAAAATAACTGATCATAAATATTACAATCGCTCTGGGTTTTGTATTAAAATAATTCTTCAAATAATTCTAACAAAAATTTAGGCCTTACCATTATTATTAAGTGTTACGAATACATTGATTGGAATATAAAAAATATATAAAAATTGTTTCAGTAACTTTATTTTTCTTATATTTACATATTATTTATTAATCATAACTGGCGGCAACTGTAACACTATGTTTTCTGGTAAAATTTCCACTGTTACTGCCTCATCGTCGTTGAGCCAATGAAAGTCCGCCAGGTACTGTGGAATAATTAATATATAACATAATGTTATTGTTGGTAGTGATAATGAAATATGGATAAGTAATATGGATAGTAAATTAATAGAGTAAGTAATTTTTTAATCTTATATATAAATACTCAACTACTTAATTCTCAAACTATTGAGAAACTGTGCTAAACAAAAAGGACTCAAAATGAAACATTTGTTTTTGTTCAAACATTTCCAACCTGTTTACCACATTCAAGCATCTTTATTAAATTTTACACCGGCTAACATTATTTTGCCCCCTATCAGTACTGAATTAGTTTTTTTCTTATCCAGATAAAAACTATCCTTTTAATAAATTTGGGGCGAAAACATTACATTTATAAAAAAATTACAAAATTTCATTAAAATCGGTTGAGTAATTCTGAAGATTATTATGAAACGAATATTATAATGTGATTTTTATATATTTAAGAAAATAAGGAGTAAAATAATTATCTAAACTTATGTTCACTATTTAGCAATAAACAATTAATGACTGAAGTAATGATGATGAAGTAGGATTCGAGTTTAGGATTATTTAACACATTCTTAAAACTCCTTTTAACTATAGTAAATTAATTTTAATTACAACTATACATACCTTAAAGGGTACAACTTTAATATTTGATGGTTTTGTATCCCGTCCTGTTCTTTTTGCAACAGGTTCACTATCTTCATCCTGGAAACATATTTTCAAACTCTTCTTATTAACTAGAAGACTCATATGTATCTACATATGAGTAGACTAAAAATTCACTGCTGACTTCTACAGGTTTTAATTAAACTCGGTTTAAATGTCAGATGAGCTAAAATATAATGCTATACATCTGAGTTACCTAATTTACTCTACATTTAGCTATTACTTAGGATTTTTAGAAAAACTGCATGGAATTTATACAAGTTATATTCCCCGCAATAAGACGGCTAGTCCACGTTGCTAAGAATCTCCTCCCACAAATATTGCATTTATGAAACTGTATAAATAATTTCCACAATTACCGGTTGTCTGTCGGCGACCCAAAGCGAGGTGTCGTCGTGCAATAGGAGAGCATCGCGACGCGGGTGCAATGTCATTGAGACAGCCACTCTACCGCCTATTTCTGCAACCGCCTTTGGCGACCTCAACCGCCACCCGTCTCTTTCCGCTGCAAACCGGCGCTGCAGTAGCTCATACTCTATCAGCTATAAATTATAATATTATGCAATTGTAATTATTTTAAATTTATTATACAATATAATATGATCACTTATAAATAAATTATCAAGACAAAAATAAAAGATAAAGAAGCCTTTATTCTGCGCTTAATATTATACAAAATTTACTTTGTAATTATAATTAATATTGCATGCATTATATTTTTTTTCACTACAAATAAATTACATTACATTACATTTTTTAGAATTAATTAATAAAATCGTAAAATTATATTATCAAAATTATATGTTAGCACAGAGTGCCTTGTGGCAAAGGCCTCCTCCAACTCCTTCCAATAATTTCTGTCCTTTGCTGACAAAAATAAACTTTAATTTGGAACTACAGAAACACTATAGTGAAAACTGCATCCAATTTGGTACAATGTGATCCGACACAAAACAAATATATGAATAGACAGACAAAAAGAGTAAACATTTATGTCTTAATAGGAATTAAGACATAAATTTTCCTTAAACTTCTTTTGTGTACAGATATTGTCTGATTTAATGATATGAATATAGATTTAAAAGTACAATGTTAATACAACTGATTCCGAGTGATAGTAAAGCATAAACAGTAAATGGGCATGTGTGATTTGTACAGTTAAGTATATAGTGACAATCTACTCTGTCGCCTATCATTCTCATAATATTATTGCGGTTGGCTTATATGCCGTTGATGACACACATCAATTATGATCCACAATAATAACCAATGTGTGTCAATAGAAATTAGTTCTGTGAATAAACGTTCCTAAGTAAACTCCCTAAGTATACTATTTATAACATATTCATTCTTAGAGTCTGTATGTCTTTTTAATATTCTTATTAAAAAATGAATTTTTATTTAACAATCTTATTTTTTATATTAATTCCTATATTGAGATTATACAAATTATATTATTAGTGTTGAGAAACTATCTTATAAAAAACAATCATTTACCATTAAAGAAAAAAAAAAAAATTACTTACATTTTGGTCTACGTAATGAATAATGAGGTTGTCTCGTTTCCAGTCGACAATTAGAGCTGACGGTATACATTTATATTTCGGCAATGTTACGTAATGTTCGTATTTCTTTTCGCCTTTAGTCCACACGGCTACAGCGCCTTGAGTGTCAGCCACTACTAAATATATTGCGCCTGAGGCGGTTTCTCTAGATACATAAAGGTGTAATACTGATGCTGTTTTCAAATCTGTAAAATAATAGGAAAAATAACGCATCACAATTTTTACCTAAAGGTTAACATGTTTGAAATAATTTTTAAATGTATACGTGTGCGATCGGGAATCTTATTATTATAAGAAAAACTTGAATGTTATTATCAGACATTCCCCTTCTGCTATGGTTATTAACCAAATACTATCATACACGACTTAGTAGGATGTATTGTTTAGAATAGTACCAGCGATCCTAATAGAATAACCATGTATAAACAGTAATAATTAGAACAATACACCATTATAAGTAAAACAAACAGTATTTTATTCACTTTCTACGATAAGACGTGACATATTAATTTGTTATGTAAATTTGATAATTACTTATAATACAACTATACTGATATTATTTTCACTTCTCTGTAACGGTTTTAAATGGGTTCTCCAAACTGTTCATTCCGAGGTTCGTAAGAGAATGCGTGACATTTAACAATATAAACTTTGTACGTATACGTTTGTAATCAATCGATGTAATAGATCACTTACCGTGAAACCTAAAAAATCTATGCACTAGTTTTAAGATTAAGGTATACCTACAGATTAATAGACAAGAAACGCGGCGAATTCTTAATATTAAAATATTGAGGACGATTTAGGCAAAACATCTGTATAAATAAACTAGAATTTTTCTGTGTTACATTTAGGTACTTACGTTTTTCCACGTTGATACTTTGTACCACGGTTGCACCTGCTAACGGGTCCACTTGTAAAACATGAACTACACCAGCGCAATGAACCATCATAGTGCGGGAGTCTTGTGTGAACGCAATTCGATCGCAACTCGTTGGTAAACCGCTGATTGTTAATTTAGACAAAGATAAATTGCCTTGGTCTTCTTCATCCTGTAATTATAATAATATGAAGAATGAATACAATATTGTTTCAATTCAGTCTATTCAATCTACCAGCCTGAGACAAGAAGCATAAGAATTTTTTTTTTTTTAATTAACAGTGCTATTTCAATAATTTCCATTCAGTAAGCAGTAAATAGTCCGTTATTTTAAGTTTAAGAAAGAACATTCTTACAATTAGCGGTCAAAGGATTTATTTTGACTGCCTGTAGCGGTTTTCGTGCACTTAACTCAAATAGACAAATTCATATTATTCTTGTTTTTTTATTATCTCTATGTTGAGTATTTTGAAAACATTGTAAAGTTTTGTTTTATATTCTGTCTGTTATCTTATTGTGTATTAATTATTGTAGTAAACAACTAAAAAAACGAAAAAAACAAACATACAAAGACAGGTTTGCTGTCAAATAAATCAGACAAGGATCCTTGTTCCATACTCGTTGAATAAAGTAGAAGACAATTTAAAGATTAACATACATGCTTTCTTTCATTTAATGACAAGAAAATCCCTTACCGCATCCAATTTCAGCATTCTTATGTGACTATCTGTTGAGTAAATAATAAATTCTCCAGAGGGCGACAGCTGACAGCAGCGTATTTGCTTCTGACCTTTCGCCTGTACTGATACTAATTTTAAAGGTTTCTCTATTAATTTTAAAGTTCTAATTTGTTTTCTGGCAACCTTCGCTTTGTCAATAATATCAAATGTTGAATCTTCTTCTAACCCTGTATTTTTACCTTTTTTCTGTTTACTTGTATTAATAGTGTTGACTGTATCATAAATAACACTTCCATTTTTGTTGGTGCCATAAGAACCTAATTTCCAAACTTCTAAATGGGTGCTGAATCTGTAATTAAAAATAATCATAATAAATGTTAGAAATATTTTTATTCTTTAAAATAATAAATTTCTTATAATATTCTTTAAACTTTAGAACATTACTAAAGATAAATAAATTTTTCTGCCACTAGTTCAAAAACTATGATTCTATTTTGTTACAAAAAATTAAAGTATATCATAATTTACACATTTATATAATCAAAATACCACAGAAGCATAAAAGTGAATATAAAATTAATTAGATATGAGTATGAATCAATCATAATTATCTTTTTCAGACCCCAAAAAATAGCAGATTAGTTTTAAAAGTAAGTTAAAGTTATTTATTTGTTTGTTACTTATAAATGCCTTAACAGCTCAAACAATAGTCATGGAATGTACCTGTAAGAAACTTGACACCTAATTAATTCCACAGAACCTTTATTTTTGTACCATAGAGAACTGACATTTTTTATTTGGGATATAAAAAGATCTATTCCAAACAATCATGCAAAATATATACAATATATTGTTTTAATTCTTATATAGTAAAGTTACAAGTAAATAATACTCAAAATAAAGTACACACATCACCTTAAAAGTAAAAGTTTTTTCACAGGTGACACTGATGTTCTTGGTGATGGAATCATTGGTGGTATCCGCATTACCCACTTGGGAGGATATTTAGAGAATGTCAAGTAACCATCAGCTCCAACCGATATCAATCTTTCTCTATCAATAACCAAGGATCTGAAATGAATTAATTCAATGTTATACAAAAACAGACAAATATTTACAAACAATATTTATGACAATGTAGTCAATATAAAAATAATAAATAAATAATATATACAAAATAGTTCATCTTCTGGAAAAATCAACAATATTACTTAAAAAGGTTTATTTAAAAGGTTTAGTAAAAACAAAAAAAAGAATTAATAATTGTTGCATACATTATACTCTTCTAAAGAATAGTATAATGTATTTAAGAATAAGAATATATTTATAAGAAGAATTACATAAAACAGAGTCACATCAGAATGAACATTCAAAAATAGCCCTACAACGAAACTAACACTATGACAAAATCATGAATGTATAAAAAATAAAATCATAAAAAGTATTATAAAGTTTGCTCATTACATCTTCATAGGAAAATATATTAAGGGATTTCAATCTAATTTTATAATCGAGAAGGTATTAATCCAATATAAAAATTAGACGATTTATCAAAATTGCTTGAAATATTATGAAATCAATTTACCAGAAGGAAACTTTGTACAAAAGTCATTTGCTTGGGTACCTCTGTCCCATTCCGTAAAGCAATTGTATTTGCATGGCTGTGTTTTGGTTTGAAGGGTGGGATATGGTGTGAATTTACAGGGTACAGAGGAATAACACCTGAGTCCTCAGGAATGGCAACACATGGGGGGCATATCATGGGCGAAACAGTATACACTGTTATGTCCATGGTACTGCTCATGTCTATAGGTGACGGTTATCACTTTCCATCAGGTGGGCCATCAGCTTGTTTACCATTCTAAGTTGTATACAAAAAAAAATATGCAGTTTCATTTAATATTTTCTATCCATACAATAGAGATGCAATTGTATCAGGGAATGCATATGTTTTTGTATCTGATTTTATTTATTTTATTTATTTATTCATTAGATATGGGTACAATTAATGCTAAAAGCATTCTCTCCCAGTCAACCATAGGGAAGTGTCAGAATATGTTTTTGTATCTGATTCGCAAGTGACTGTGAGTACCAACTATAAATATAACATATATAGGGTGAGATCAAAATAATTATCATCCTTTTAACAAACATCCACCTATCCATCCATCCTTATAAATTTTAGCATTAAATTATTAATAGGATTATCCTAACATATGCAGTAACTTACAGTTGTTTTATAAGTTATGTTACATTTTAATGTAAAAAGTCAACACAAATATGTCTAATAATGTAATTATTTATTAAATATCATGGCTCACCTAACATCATGTTCATGGACATGTCTTTGCACATGTCTCACCCATTGTCCCCTGGACTCCTTGTGATTTTTAACTTTAATGAACTGCATAATTACAGGGTCGACACCACTGAAGAACATGTATGTTTCATCATCAGACACAGCTATTGACAAAATGTCTGCCTTGTGTGTAACATAAGATTCAATCTAAAATCAAGTAAAGTAAATGCAAATGAGAGGTAATACCAAAAGGAAATATTGTCATTATTCAATCTTATTATCAACTCCCTGACCCAACACACATTATTCTCTATTGATTGAAATGTTTGAATTGGCAGCATTATTTATTTTCTCATTAAAACTGTTAAATATGAAAAATGTGACTTTAAAGGCCTTCCAGGCAATTTTTTACTTTGTTCTCTTCATAAGAACCATCCTTGGAAACGTACACCACAAAATGACAAATTGTTTAGAATATTTTCTTTGTTTGTCAAAAATCAGTTATCTTAAAATTAAGATGAGCAGATTTCATATAGTATTATGTCTTCTACACAACTTTTGTTCTGGTAGAGTAATACAATGTATTTGATATATTTTTTTATATAAGTAGTATGAATATAAAATTTTAAATTACCTGGTCCCCAAGATCCCCATCCCAAAATGTAAGTCGTCCTCCGCTGTCGCCAGATACAACAATGTTGTCAGCAAGAACAGCCAAACACCAAACTATGGTCTCCTTACCACGTCTACTGACTGACATGCGACTCTTAGCTTGCCCAGTCTGGACATTCCACACTCTTATTGTATCTACTGAACCTAAAATTTATTTTTATTAAATTATCTTAAGAGATAATTAAAAAAAAAAACAATAATTGACTTTTATTGATTCATGGGATTCATACCTAGATCTTTCTGTTATTCATTAATTACTTAATATATTCCAATGTAAGGTCACATAATAAAAATTTTTAAAATATATATTACTTATTAAATTAACAAAAAAAGTTTAAATTGTGAAAGAATGTTTTTAGTTATTATTTGGTATAAAAATGTGCATCAGTGTTTTTATTCATGTAATAATGGAGTATACAATATATTACAACTCCATCATCTTTTAAATATAATAATAGTTAAAGGAACAAAATACTACACACCAGTATAACAAAGAAAAAACTCAAAACATATTGAACTGAGCAGTCAGAGCCATATACTGTAGTGAAGCATTTATGGATTTTTAAGGATATGAGTATCAACACAAACAGATTTTATTTTACAATAACATGTTACTACATGTGATTACCTGTGACAAGAATATCTCCTGTTTTATTGAATTTGCAACACATTATTCTACCTTCTTGTTTATCAAATAATTTTAAATAATTTATTTCATTATTCTCCACACTGTATAAGTTGACATAACCTTGCTCTGTGCCCACTGCTACAATGGTATTTGCAGTGTTAACATCCAAACACCATGCTGCATATCCAGTCAAAAGAGTGGTACTTTTGAGGCATAGTTTATTTAGATCCCATTCAAGTAAAGCACCACCAAGACCGGTAGATAATAACCTATCTTCAACCCAACCTAGAGCCTCAACTGATCCCTTTTCGACTCCAGGAATAAATTTTACTAAATAAGGACCATAATTCAAGTCCCATATTTCAATTGAAGCATTTGCTCTGTAAAAAAAGAATGCAGGAATAAATCTAATAAAGAAATATTAAATGAGACAAACATGCTTATACGCCTAAAAATCAAACCTAACCTTGCAAGTGCAATACGTCTGGTAGTTTTGTTTAAAGAAACACAATTAATTAATTCTGGTTTTGGATTATAATAACAAACTCTGTGTACTTTACTACACATTTTGATTCTAATGGATTTAAAACAAACACATAGTAAATAATGAATTAATGTTAAAAACAAGAAGATAAAAAAAAATTTTAAATTGACAATGCAGTCACAGATACTAAACACTAATCACAGATTACAGAGACTATGTCTAAAAACAACAGCATGAGAAAAGACCTAAGAACAAGGAATTACTTAGAAGGAATGATAAAATAAAAACTGTAAATCATATGGTTGCCTCTTTTCTTCTTATGCAAATATAATTAGTAAAAGGAGGACGAAAGATATAATATCCATCACTTTTTTGTGAATTCATAACAGGTTAGTATATAGAAAATATTTGATATGTTAATTTTTGGCAATGACAAATTTTACTTTTTATTAATTATATTTGCATTAGAAGAAAAGAGGCAATTGTATGATTAAGTTTTTATTTTATCATTCCTTCTATGTAATTCCTTGTTATTAGCTATGAATTGACAAGAATAGCAACTGATGGTGTATATTTTGTCCTTTTTTTCTAATTATATTTGCATAAGAAGAAAAGAGGCGACCATATGATTTACAGTTTCTATTTTATCAGTCCTATGTAATTCCTTGTTCTTAGGTATACACTAGCGGGGCACCAGAGATGATAGGTTTTTTTAATGAGTGTTAATGGAATGGTAATCACCTCTGCGCTATTGATATACGCTGGCGGGGTATTGAGAGCTAATAGGTGAGGATAAAAGCAGGTCAGTCAGCCCATCGTGACGAATTCCACCATCATAATTAACCACGATAGTTTCCAAAGGTAACCACATGGAGGTTGACCTGATAGGGTGTATTGCTAGCAATGGGTCAATTAGACCCTACTACTAACAATCCCTTTCCCCCAGACCAAGGGTATTAGATAGGTTGACAATTGACAACACAGCAACTAGTCACTATGTTATATTGACAGAAAAATGACTGATTGATGCTGAAATATTGAACTGACATACGAGTCATAAAAACAATAATTTACCTATTTACGTAGATTCTACCAACTACCAATAAAAATATTTAGACTTTATATTAGACAATTTTATTTTTCTTTAATGAGGGTATTGTAGTACACATACTAAAATATCTAATCGTTTTCGTGTTTCCAATAATATTTCAATTGTATCTTCTATATCTACTGTGAACAATGGGTGACGGACAAAGCGAAAATCAACCCTTACTGAGAGATGGTGAGTTTACTGAAATTTTGTTTTTTTTTTTGACGAATCATGATTATACTCTCAGCGTTTCAATTTAATTTAAACTTAATTGTTCAGTTCAACAATTCTTTTTATTTTAAATCATTGTATAATTATATGGACTGTGCAATTAAATATGTATCTATCCATTTCTTATATGATCTAATAGATTTTAATTGAATATTACGTATGAGACAAACTAACTATTCCTTTGACAGAAGAAGTTAATGTCAGCACGATATCTCCAATTGGACCCGACGAACTCCCACCGCCTTACCAACAAGCTGGAATGCCTATGGTGACATGCCGTGTATGTCAGGCCATGATAGATATATCGGGAAAAAGAGAGCAACATGTTGTAAAATGTTCTGAATGCAATGAAGCTACAGTATGTATTTGCCATTATTTTACTTTGGAACTCTTACCCCCTTATTCATAAAAAGGTCAAGCATCTAATAAACTTGTTTTGAAAAGTAACAATATACTGTAATAGCTAAAATAAGTTTGATTTAAATATGTTTTAGTTTTTATGAATAAGGGGGAAAACTCCTTATTTATTACCACTCACCAATATCACCTATTAATGCTACTCACTGTAAATTTCTATTCATGGTTATTTGTGTATTGTATTATGGTTCCGAAGTCAGATAACAATTTGTCCATTTATACTGTGAAAGAAATATACCTATTTAAATTACTGGACTTACAAATATAATTACATTATACAGTATCATGTTTGGTATTTTGTCATGATCAAATGTTCTGATGAATCTGTCATTACCACCATGCTATAATGCATCATCATCACATGGATCTTTATTGTATAAAAATAGTATGCATATGTTTACTTATTTTGAACATATTAATGTTCTATCTATCTTTGTTTGTATTATTGTACTAGATATGAATGTTTTAACTGTTATTAACATTATAAATAAAAATATAAAGGTTTGAATTAAAATGATTATTATATTGCAGCCTATAAGAAATGCTCCCCCGGGGAAAAAATATGTGCGCTGCCCATGCAATTGCTTGTTAATCTGCAAGTCTTCTTCTCAACGCATTGCATGTCCTAGAGCCGACTGCAAAAGGATCATTAACTTGGCACCATCGCCTGTCACTCCTCCAGTACCCATCTTACCTGGCATGTGCAGGGTTATTTGTGCACACTGTCAAGACACATTTCTGGTAAGTAGATGAAAAAACTACAAAAATTGTAAGAAAATACAAGTAAATGCAAAATATTTATCTATGCACCTCTTGCAGAAATTAATTTTACAGCATTATGATGTCTCTTAGATAATAAATAGGATGATCAAATAAGAATTAATATATAATGGGCCACCCCTTCCTTTCTTGTGGATGTTGAAAAGATGACTAAAGGAATTGAATGCTCAAGGGCAGCAGTGTTTTTCTTAAAATATTACCAAAGCCTAACTATGGTTGCCAACCAAACTACTGGCGAAACCCCTCAAGGGGTAACGTCTGGTATGATTATATAATTAAACAAAATAAGGATATTTCTTTTTTATTTAAAATGAATTATATAACAACTTCATATCACAATGTTCATTGATGCTAACCTGTGAAACCTCAACTGATTTTAATAAAATATTGTGAATCAGTATTATTTGCTCTGACTAAAGATAGGAATGTTTTTATTCCGATAAGATAAAAGTAGTGTTAGTATTGACCCAGGAAATGTGTTCTTATTCCTTACTAAGAGGAGTAATAATATTTGATATAAAAATATATTTATTATTAATAATAATAATATGCAGTTATATAAATACAAAATATTATCTGGAACTCCAGCTGACTGTGCTTCTGCAGGGGGTTAGTTTGCCATCTCCTTAAGAGGGAAGATGTGAATTTTGTTTAAAAAAAATATAAATAATTTTTATTCAATTAAACTTAATTAAGCATTTTTAAATTGAAATTTTATTTTATGAATCTACCACCCAGTTTTAAATGCCATTATTTTAAGTATCATCACTTTTTTCCTGTCAACTTGTGAGAAGTATGACTTCTAACTATGAGTAGTTCTAAGAGTAACTACTCCGAGTACTAAGAGTACTACTACAAGATCAAATGGATATAGGTTAATATCTATATCTAATGAAACTTTATTCATATAATTACTATTACATTTTATCGTATTCCGAGCGATGCTCAACTTGCCATAGTGGTGTAGTGCATCTGGCATGTTTGCAGAGAACAGGGTTAATGATTTTTTTGCTATTTTATGTAAATGTAAGGCAAAATTTAATGAAAGATTAATGACAATAAGTAATCGTATTGTAAAGACTGTATTCCTCACTGCATAGCTGACGACAAAAGTTTTTATAATAAAATTATTTAAATTAGTATTTTGTAATTAATGTGCAGTTTAAAAATAATAATAATAGTTTGTATAATTAATAATGTAAAAATTGAAATTAATTAAAAGGAAATTTTAATCATAATAAGTGTAAAGTATGGGTATATACCTGAAAATAAAAGATTTATTATTATTATATATAAGTAGATCACTAAATGCCAAATTTTAAATTTGTATGATATAGAACTAATAATATAATATATTTTTGAGTTAGTGATGAAATATGATTTAATGAAATTTTTTTCTGGAGATGTAACAAAAGGGAATTCATTAGATATTTCTGTTTAGGATTTATAGTATAGAACTGTAGGTTTTGGGGTCTAAAGACTTGTTTATTTATGTATAGAAAGGGCTTAGCGCTGAATGTAGAGCTGGGTTATGCTCCTCTTTATGTAGATACAAAGCGGTACCTTAGATACAATTTCGTGTACACTCTGAGCTCTCTCTCAAAGCTGAATCGCAAATAGCGCTACACACTCACCATTCATAATTTGCAAATACGAATAAAACTGACAAATGAAAAATACGCTTGAAAAATACGTGCAAAGATTCTCATCTGTGAACGCTTCGATAGATTATTATATTTGAATTGGGAGGTAATTCTGAGCTTTGCATTGAGATGAAACTACAATGCTCCTCTATGTAAAATTTTTCGTAAACGAAGCATAGTCTTGCTTCGAAAAAACATTACGGCCGCACTTGTTAATTACGCGTTAATTTTTAAAGTATTTAATTATTACAATTTATTGCTTTCAGTATCAGCTATTGAAAAATGCTCCAGTACGATGCCCTCATTGTCGCAAAGTGTCATCGGTGGGGTCGCGTATGGCCCGCGTCAGGGGAACGATATTTGCAGTACTCGCATTCATATTTTTAGCAATCGCGATCGGCGTCACTGTAGGAACATTTGACAAAGCCAAGGAACACCATGGTGTTTATGTAGCATATGTTGCACTGTTCTTAATCGCATTTCTATTGGGAAGCCGAGCTCTCTATTACTTTGCTATGAAAGTAAGTACAATCGAGGGCCCAATGTAAAATGAACAACTATAACATTGGTATTGTGATAATGACTAGGGAATATTAAAAATTTCTCAATTCCATATTACTAACATTATATTTATTTGGTTCTATGCCAATTAGATATATTGTATTATAACCTTTATTTGTAACGCATGTAGAATTAAGCTAATCTAAAAAATCGCTTATCTCTTTTTGTTGATCAAAAATATATGAAAGAACTGCTCACGCCAATAAACATATTAGTTTCGATAAATTGTATTAAGTACTAAATCTTTAATAAAATTTACTGTTATTATAAAGATAGCTACTGGCTGATATTGTTTAATGTTTAATAAAAAAGAAAGAATATTTCAAATTATTGATAAAGTAACGAATATAATCCAAATTATTTCACACAATCGTAGTCGTTGATTTTATCAGTTTACGAGAGTAGTAATTATTCATAGATGTCTATATTTATCTTAATAATTCGCTTATCTTGTGCATATATATGTTTTATTGCTCTAGTAAATCGAATAATAGAGCGATAGGTTAGAATAATAATGGCCATATATCTTTTATACGCTAAAAATAATCCCCCATCAAATGAAAAGTGGTGATTCACGCTTAATAAACAAACAATACTGTGGATGTGTTGGTTACTACTCCCGCGGACCAAGATGCTATACCTCTTGAGGCAATGATTGCACAGCTTTTCATTTTTTATACCATATAACAAATTAGATTTGCTGCTTAAAATAAATAAAATAATGAAACTTAGTAAAGCGAGTCGCAGCTATTTGTTAAAGTAAAAATTCTTTCTGGTACATAAATTGTTTAAATTTAATCCTTAGATGCATAATTAAAAGAATATGATAGTTCAGTAAGTTAAATACCAGACAAATAATTGGCAATTACCAATTTCAAGTTCATACACTTATGTCCGTCTGTCTCTTATTGGAGAAGACAATAAATATACACCGAGTTATATTACAATATATTTGACTTCATTATACGATTGCAATTGTACTTCATTTACACAGATATAGTTTACAATTGTATCGCATCAGACCATCAAAATTATATGTTCATTTTTCATCAGACACTAAGAACTCGAATAGCACCCCAAATAAATCATCACGCACAATTCGCGGGATTAGAGCACGAAGTATAAATTAGTGATCAATGCTGTCAAATTTTAAGATGTGATATAAGCCACTTACCAGTTGTGCGTGCACTTTTAAGCGGAATTTGTCTTTCTGAGCGTTCAAATTTTTATTTTTTATTGTATATTTATGTACGTATATAAAAATTTGTATGTATGTGTAATAGAGTTGAATGAGTAATAGGGATAATTTATGTTCGATCACATCGTATTTGTCCTTAAATTTAATGACTAATACAATAATTTAATGCATCCTTAATGTTTATTGAATAGGTGCTGAGATTATTTTTTATTTCAACGAATTTAATTCTTATCCTGACATTATTATGTGTGACAGGGTGTAAGATCATTGCATCATTGTATATAAATGTTTCATATATTTTAATACTTAGACCACATGTGAGGCCAATGTCACTACCTATGTGGGATACTCATTATATTATAATATATTTGAAGCAAATGTAATATTTAATTCGTGTTAATTACTAAAGCTATTGCCTTTGTACATCCAAAAAGAAAACTTTCCATATATTGTTGTTTGCATATACATTGGAACTTAGTGATAACGTTAATTTACTATTATTAATGAAAAATTAATTATTTGAATTAGGAAATTAAAGAATAACCTTGATATAGTGACATGTTACTAAACCAGTTCTAATAAAAAACCAAATTTATTTACTTTAAATAACGTGAATTCAAGTTAGTATTGTGTCCAATATATTAAGTAACCGCTTTAGTATTGATATTGGTATGCTATTAAACTACCTTTTATGTCCTATAGTTTAAAAGCATGATATAATTTCTTTGTATAATAGTAGATTGAACGATCAATGTAATTACGATGAAACTTGAAAATTTAAAAAAATAAATGCATTCATTATTCTCGATATTTACTAGACTTAATCAAAATTACTGTGTAAATATATAAAATTAGTAATTAAAGGCTTATATGTATAATAAGAGGTGTCATTTGTACGTAATATTTGCAAAGTGTACCAAGAGTATAAATGTTCTCGTGACGTAAACGATTAATTTAAAAAACTACTTTCGTACAATTGCATTATCAATAATTTGTATTACATTACAAGAAAATTTGTAACCTTGTGTAAGAACTGTTTTACATTCACCTAAGATCGATTCTTATAATGAAATCCGCAATGGCTACTGTAAATTTCTTTCTGTGCGTCCAATGGCGTAGTGATCAAATAGTTTTTTCCCGTTGCAAGTATAGTGTATTTTTCAGTATACCTCAGCCAATAGAATAAAAAAAATCCTTAAAAAGGTTAACATATTTTACAGACAGCACCTCTTATAGCACAATTATGTACCTTTAAGTACTTTGTTTGTTTCATGTATTGTCTTCTTTTTGTATTCCTATGCAAATTTAATATATATATATATATGTGTGTTTTCATTACATAAGTACCTGTAATAAGAAATTCAGTATATTCATTTTATTCCCAATGTTTTTAAGATAAAAAAATATAATACACGTGAGAAATTGCAATTGCAATTTCTCAGTTTCATATGAACGTTTTATATATGGAAAATCTTATGAAAAGCTAAAAATGCATGTGTTAAGAATTGTATTTTATTTCAAAGTCTCAATTTTTTAATAACCGAGCTAAAATGTTTTCGGATCGTTATCCTTTAAAGCATGGTCGATAAGACACTCTCATTTGTTTAATATTCATTATAAAGTAAATAATTATGTTTTAGATATTTGTCTGGCAAGTGGACTTCGGTTACTTGCCTATTTTTATTTGTAAAACTTGTACATGTATATTACTCATTATTTAAAATTAAATTTTTATTTTATATTATTAGTGTTCCAATTTAATTTACTAGTTGTGCGACTCGTAATTTTTATATCTAAAAAAGACTTCTATAGATATAAAAACTATCTTCAGCAATGATTGTATATGTGGAATTTCACTAGGACAATCTTTAGTTTAATTTTTCAGCTAAGTGGGATGATAACAATGCCATTGTTATAAAGAATAATATGATGCTTCTATACAAAAATTACATTTAAAATTGTCGAAGTAAAATTAAATAAGCACAGATATTGCAAGACAAAACATAAATGCAGCCGAATACTTACCGAAATTGAAAAGGATCCGTATTTATAGACCTTATATTTATATACAATTCTTAACAACTTTCTTTATGTTTTACAACAATGGTCAGATTCGCTGGCTGGAAATGAGTGTACAATTTGATTACTGGACTCTATCTTCACTGCTGCTTTTTAGTCTATATATCTTGAGTCATAAATAATGTGTAAAGGGCTTTAGTCAAGACCTTGGTTGAGAAGCCTCGTATATTGTAGCCACTAGATGAACTAAAGCGTTTTATTAACGTAATGAATAATGAATATTTATGAAGGTCGTAAAAGTACGACTACTTTGAAATCTCCAAATCCGACGTTACTCTACTACAGCACTCTAAACAGTAAATATCTAAATGAATAAAATTATTTTGCAAAAAAGATCTCATTGCTAGAATTATCAATTCGGTGCAGAATTGCGTTTATATCACGTAAAATAGGTGCCTAAGTTAAAATGTTGCACTGACAACCTCTTCTTTTAATTTCATCATCAACTTGAATGTTAAATAAGGTTATATCAATTTGGACTGGACTCTCCTATTAGCTTGTCTTTATTTAATTTTTTATTTGTGTAGTCTATCTATATAAATAAAAATTAAATGCTAATGTTTGTTGCTACGTCAAATACAAACTGCTAGACTAATTTGGATTGGCAAAGAAAAAATTTGAAAGGAGAACAAATTAAATAACATCGAAAAAAAAAACAATCAATAACGGGCTTCTCAAAAGTTGTAGAAAATATTAAAATATTATCTGAATGTCTACGACTCACCTATTATTATATTTATTCAACTTATTAACCAAATGATTACTTGTTTTGTGTTCATTAATGACTGTTTGTTGTGTAATTAAGCATTATTATAGATATTTGAATTTAGAATCCTTATATTGTCTCCTACACAAATCATAAATATGTGACATGCACATGTGAATAATAATGCACATAATTATGTAATGTAACTTTTATATCAAAATTGCATGTAGTATTCCACCAAATATAAACGTCACTAGAGTTCGATAGGTAACTCGGGCTGAGCATAAAAAGCATAATACATGCGCTCTATACCTACTATCGTTCGGTTTATTCTGAATCATTTTATGAATACGTGTATATAAGTGACTTATAGCTGCCCTAGATATTTTAAAATACCGTACATAAATTAACATAATTTGTGAATGTAGTACCTTAATACAAATTTTCATGTTCAAGTTCAATCAGCCTAAATATATATTTATAAATTTATCTTTGTATAAGAGAAGAAAATATACGTATTCGCAATTACATCAAGTGACAATAATTAAAAGTTATTAGACAAGAAATAATACATTTTGTGTCTTGAAAACAAAGATGTAACCTCTACCTTTCTTAATCATATTAGAATAAAGAAAATAGTTTTAAAATTTCACAGTACAGCATTCTAGACATTTTTATTTGGGAAAATTGAAAGGATTTTTTAAATACCTATTAAAATCATTATGAGTTGTACAAAGATTTACGTTACTGTTATTATATTATCATGTTTACGTCGAAAGCTTTTTATTAAAATTAAGTTTTCGAAACTATCCGTTAGAAATTCAATATAAATTTTCGACATAAATGCCAAGCAATATAAATCTGTGTTAAACTCATACTAGAGTTGTTCATTTGGTAAGTAGGTAATATATATTTAATAGTTGTGCATTACTTTTGAATCATTTGGCTATAAAGTAACTAAAGTGATTTGGATAAAAAAAAATTGTAGCCACATTTTACTCGAAATCCGCTAGCCATAATAATATTACTAAAATCCATCTATAGGTACTTGAATTATAATTAATGATTTAAATAAAGTGAAAGCGTCTCCATTAATTTCCATCTATACCTATAAAGTAATATAAGCTAAAGGAATTATTATAAAGTAGGTACCCTAGTCTATCCAAAAATTTGACCACTCCGTGTTTTTCATTTCTTTCAGATGTGATATATATTATTAAGTGTCTAGTTATTACTTATATGAAATGCAAGATTAAAGTATTTCGAACATTCTATCTAAAAATTATTTTTAGTTAGTGTATATTATATAATTTTCATGTCAGGCTTTACAGCGTGTATTTTTAGTTTTAAGTTAAATAAATGGTATATAATGCAAATAATTTTTATTTGTATTCTATAGTATAATGTATGAATTAGACCTAAGCACATATTTACATTGGATTATTCGCAATTTTTAACAAACACACTGCATACATTATTGTCTTCATCACAGAATACAGTAATGGTAAGTATCTGCGTCTAATACTGACCTGTCTCTAGTTTGCAGTCGGTAATTGATCTAATTAAACATACACTTAAATACATTCAACGAACATAGTGGTGTAGCGATTTAAATTAGTGCCTCACCTTCCTATAGTTGCAGTTTCAATTTTAGTACAATACAATTTTTTTTAGATGAATGGATAAAGACATGGATAGTTGCGTTTGCATGGCTGTGTTTCGATTTGAAGGTTGGGATATGGCAGTTAATTTACAGGGTACAGAGGAATAACACCTGAGTCCTCAGGAGTGGCAACGCATGAGAGGTATCCTGGGCGAAACAGTGTAGTATATGTCCAGGGTACTGCTTATATCTATAGGCAACGGTTATCGCTTTCCATCAGGTGGACCGTCAGCTTGTTTACCATTCTAAGTTGCATAAGAAAAAATTGGTAAGCGACGAATATCTCTGTTTAAATCTGGTATACAATATATATTATGATTGACAGCTTCTTAAAAGACTATGTATTAGTCTAACATATCGTCCTATCTAGTATATGGACTATATATATCTAGCAAGATGATATATTCAGGTACCTATTGTAGTAGGAAGGAAATAAATTATTAAAAGAAAGAATCCGTATATAATGTTTTTATTATTTATTAGGTACACAACAAAATAATGAGGTACTTGTATTAGATTTTGTTTTGCGTTTGAGATAAAACATTGGTATTTCAAAAACCAACATCGTATAAGTTAAACTGTGCATCTTATTTAGAACACAATTCATAGTGAATTAAAACAGATTATTACTTTCTAATTAATTACTATTAATATAAAAATATATAATACAATAAAATATGATTCACATCTTGTTTTTAACCAAATTATCTAATAACACTGATACGTTACCTATAACGTAGATATATATAATGATTTTTAAACATATGTACCCTGTACCTATGTACACGCTTGTAAAGGTACATACTCATAATTAAAAAAATTGCATTCAATATTTATCGTATTATGGATCCAATTTTACTTAGGTACTTTGTTCACGACTAGACAATTTTATTGTAACTTACTCCTGTTAATACATAAAAGTTGTAATGCAAAAATATCGGAATCTTACTTCGCTAAATTTATACATATAAATATTAAAAATCTACATAGAAGGAATGTCATTGCTGCACAACATACAAAGCTAAAATTCATTCTTTAAATTATTTGTTTGTATTTAAGGATAAAAGACTTGAAAATTTGTTGTTAGTAGGGTGGATTCTCCTTACCTAATATTTTAATCTGATAATTTCGCGAATTACTATTTTATGGACCATCATAAATAAAACTTATAATATATTAGACTTAGATCTATTAGAAATTTAATTTATATTGGTCCTTAGAATAAAGATTCCGCTGTTATATCAAATTGAAGTTTTAATTTTAAAGATAGGTTTGGAAAATGGCGCTTCTGAATCGACCCCACTGTTCCCTTGAACGAATAATATAATTTGCATATAGGTAGGTAGGTATTAATTTAAATTTGATAATCATAAATGCATTAGCTACCCACAATCAGTGCAATTGAAATCACATTAGAGGTCTCAATTTTGAATCCGTTGATCAACGATCTAAGATCTTAGCAGGCAACGGTTTGTTTACGAAAAGAAGCGATACGATTTCCGATTCATACAAATTAGCTAAGGGATCAAATCTATGCATTTTGATTTTACAGTACAAGATAATCTGGAACCAAGCAATGGAGTGAAATCTTAACATTTATTGTGTTTAGGTCTTCATTGTTTTACAATACGTATATTTAAAATAGCAGTAATGCCTCCAGACACAATGGCCTAATAAACTTGTACAAGAACGCTTCCCATTCGTAACTAATGAGATTTGTCGTAAGTGTCCTTGTGTTGGTAGCCGCTGACGTAACCTGAACCATCCACTAGGTCCTTTCTGCCAGCGATGCCTTTCCCCTTTCCGGTCTCATCGAAGCGTTGTTTGTGAGAACCAGTGTACTTGCTGGTGTCCGTCAACCGGTCAACTGCAGCCGCAGCAGCTGGTGACTTTGTAACCTACAATTGCAAACATTCACAGGTTATTTTCACCGGCGATGATAATCAGCCAATGCAGCCAATCTGGCAATCCAGATTAAATGAAAATTCTAATTCACAATTTTGTGTAGACATTATTGTTCAACACAAAAATGCATTAAAGAATTTTTTGACGGTTTCGGTATTTGCAATCTTTACATATAGCAATGTGTTCGTCGTGTGTGCCCCAGCATAAAATGGGTCACTCTTTCCTTTCCCGTGGATGTCGAAAGAGGCGACTAAGAGAAGGCGAGGGATAAACAGCAGCGCCCTTCTTAAAACATCTCTAAAAGCCTAATTACGGTTGCCAAACCGCCTGCCAAGCGGGGCAACTACTGGCAAAATTTCCCTTATGGCAAGGTTTATGTTCAGCAGTGGACACTTAACGGCTGAAATAATAATATAATATATAGCAGAATGTCATCATCTTATTAGTCATTAACTGTCCACTACTAAACATAGGCCTCCCCCTTAAGGAGGGTTTACCAATAGTTACCACGCTTAACAGGCGGGTTGACAACTGAAATTAGGCTTTAGTGCTGTTTTAAGAGGGATGCTGCTGCCCTTCTTTCGACCGTTAAATTCCATTAGTCGCCTCTTATGACATCCACGTGAAAGAAAGGGATGGCCAAATTAATGCCGGTACCGTGCTGCAATATATACACATAGAATATAGTAACGAAAGCAGTAAGATGATGTGAAGAAGTCAACGTAACGAATGGCGTTGTATACTCGTTGTTCACGTAATGGTCGCATGGTAAAACGTAGTGAAAACTAAAACAAGTTTGTGATCGAGTAAAAATAAATAAATATACTTTTAAAAAAATAATTAGTCTGCTACTGCTTCATTCATGGTAGTGCGGTTGAGATGGGTGAAAATGGAAATTTTGATTTTAATGTGATAACTACCGGTAACGTAACGGAGACTACCTGACCCCGTTACAACGTTACCGTGACCCCGGTCATCAAATAGATTTACGATAGCGCCAAGTTTTCCAACTGTTTTAATTGTCATTGACACTTAAAAACATGGAAAGTCGATCCTAATAAAATCTCAGTTCGCCTGTAGTATGTGTAAATACTCGTAGTATAATTCAAATCTGACTTAAGAATTATTTTTACATTATTCTTTTCAAGTTAACATAAGTAGTATCTGTTTTTTATGAACCATTGTCTTAAATCATTATTATATTTGTATTATTTATTTGCCTATGCAGTAAATGTGTTCAGTATTTATATATTATTTAGTAATAATTCCATATTTTATAACGCGATTATTATACAACCAATGATGTGTACATCTTTTACTGGTGTGCATATATTACCATGTGTATATTAAGAGTTGTATTATAACAAACTATATGTAACACTGTTGATGTACCAATAAATATGTTAGGAGTATGAGTTGTAGATATACGACCTAATTATCTGTGTCTATGGATGACAATGTTCGTTGCTAAGCATCTTGTTGATTGTAACATTTTATTCTACTTATTATACGTATTTTAATATCGCTTTCTGTTCTCCACTTTAATAAAATAAATAAAGTTTTATAAGCAGCAAACACGAATAAGCAAATTTTGTATAACTTACGTGTGACGACACTCCAGGCTGTCCACAGGTGGTCAACTTCCTCTTTATTTCATCGAGTTCTACCTTTTTACTCTTTGCCAAATCATCGAGGAATTTTTGATAGTCATCAATACCGACTTTCAGAGACTTGAGCTTCTTAAAGTGTATAGCTGTATCTGTGGTCGTTATCTTCTTTCCATCTATCACTTTAGCTTGTTTCATCCACTTGTCACTTTGAGAGAGTGTAATTTGTTTACCATCTGATTTTGGATCTCCGAACTTGGAAAATGCTTTAAAAGCGTCCTGAAATTTTAAAATATCAATTTATGTATGATACCTATGTAAGGTACACATTTTATCTTCGATTATAAATAATAATAAACAATTTATTGCTTTAACCTAAAGCTACAAACTTTGTGTTATAAAAAAGTACACTACATTATAACATAAGTCTGGGGGAAGGGGTTTGTCAATAATGAATTCTAACAGTCCCAGTGCTTTGCTAGTAATATATCGTATCAGATCGACCTCCAAGTAGTTACACCTAGAAACTATCGTAGTTAATTCTTGTCAAATTCTCCACGATGGGGCTTCATCCTCATCTATCATCTGTTACTGATGCCCCGCCAGCGTATACCGATAGTGTAGGAGAGGTTACCATTCCATTTTCACAGATTAAACATAATATAGGCACAAATATATTATAATTTTTTAAAATAAATCTTGAGGACTTAGAACAGAATAGAATTTGGTTACCTATCTTTCACATTGTATTTATTTCCAAAAAAAATTATTAGAATAATTTTAAGTTTTAAACCCTAATGATTTTATTGTGCACGTAGAAAAAAGTAACTGTGCAGGATGAAATTATTTCCATTCCTTTTTATATAAATAATTCTAACAAAAATTTGTTTAATATTAACTAAGTAAGTAAAACAATTACGACTATATTTATAGGCAACAGTAGATAATAAATAGGTGGAAATTCACCTTAAACGGTATAGCATTGTCATCGTTCTTAGCGGGCGTTCCGTTGGCTGCTCCCGGTGCTGTCCCGTTTTCTAGCTTGACGTCCTTCACCTCCTGAGTCACCTGCTCCACGGTGTCTGGTGCTGACCCTTCAGACATTTCTATTTTTATTCTGAAATTAGAAAAAAATCTTATTATTAAACCGATATATAACCTTTTTAGTTAGTAATATTATATGCTAGTATTATCTAAAAAGTAATATAATTTAATTTATAATATATTATAACAAAAATTACCTTTTAGATTATAACGGTAATTTATTCCACACTTATTTGAAATGACTTTGACTAAATACATATTAACTATAATAAGTTGAATAAGTAGTAATTGTATATATCTATATAATATATAATTCTATATTCCATTTAATAATGCACCGCCTACGTATTTCTCAGTTAGCCCAATGGTTGCCTGGTAGAGAACACCGTCCGGTGTTAAATCCGCCAAATGTTTTACTGTGCATTAAAGTTTAAATATATAAAAATTGTCTCAAAAGAATCTTTTTTGTATGGGCAAACGCAATGTTGGATGACCCCCCTTTAGATGGAGTGACCTCAATGCGTAGCAAGGTGTCAATGGATTCAGGTGGTTCAGGACTGTTCCTTATGACAGTATATAGTGATGGTGATGGCAGAGGACAGATAACAGCTGATATGATGATTATGAACCTTATTCGTAATGTTTTAGTAATCAAATTGTATTAGACCAGAAGTTCATTACGCTAATGGCCTCATCGTAGGTCTGACAGCTTTATTGTGTAGTCGTTACAATTTACCCATCGATTGCTAATATAATGCCGCATCTTTGCCAATTTGAAATTGGTTAATTAGTATCATTTATTGAAATGATACTATTGAGTAGCGGTTCATTTAACTCTGTAGTAGAGAGATAGTAGACTAAAATAGTGTTTAGAAAACCGTAAACATATCTCTATATGCGTATGTACGTAGTAAATTACTACCCTATTTTACCACTATACTTGAAAAAGCATTGTACATTTTGATTATTGTATTTAAATTTTGATTATTGTATTGTAAAAGTATATATGTAAATAAAACATTTAATTATATACAATACATAGACAATTATGTTCTTGATTTTTACACGTATTATATAAAATATTGTTATCTTTATGAATTTTTTACCCAACTTCAAAAAAGAAGGAGGTTCTCATTTTTGTTGTATTATTTTTATGTATGTTACCTTATAACTCCGTTATTTATAAACTGATTCGGAAATTATTTTTTTATCTGATATTTTATCAAAATCAGTTTTAATACTTGAGGTTTTAAATCAAAATAACTGGTGTTGTCATGATTTAAGTCAGTATTTTTTGTGGAACAAAATCTTATAGTTAGAAAATTAAATTCCAATCTGACAGCAATTATAAATACCAAGTATTCCTTTGAATAAACTTCGTATGCCCTAATAATTTCATATTAGATATTCTATAGTTACTAACTATAATGGGTTACCTATTACTCACCTACCAAATTAATCAAGATCCATAAAACGCGAAAAGGTTCTATTATTATACACAGCCATGCCGCGGCTGACCCGGAAAAATTATTCGTGACCTATCTAGGTACTTATAAATATTGCTATTGCCAACGTCAAGGCAACATTACTAACGACCGGGACAGGAATGATGTCATACCAAATATACAAACAGACAACCGACCTACCTATCGCATTATCACACACGCTAGATTCAATGCGATTTACGTTTGGACGCTAAAACTGGCAATTACATCATCGACCTTGCGCCGTCCTGAGTTGCCGTAAACTTGTAAACATCAGCTGAGATTCAAACTTAACGCTCACTAGAATGTAAACGGTTGTCGATAAATAAGTACACTTTCCTCCACAGAAAAAAAAAAAACAATCACGAAGAGATTTTACCAACATCTGATAGATTACTAGAGATGTTACATTACTTACATTATAAATATTTTAATATAAAGCACGGAATCACGTTTTTACATGTAGATTTTGTTTCGCATCAAATAGTTTTTGTTGTAAAAAAAAAAAAAATTTCTGCTATATGTTAATTATTATGAAACCAATAAAAGAGTAAACATTAATGTACATAGGTTCGTTTATAGCGAACTACTTACGTACTTATATAATATAGGTAAAATATAAAATCAATAAAAACAGGAAATGATATCAAGTCCAAATTTGGTCATGTAACCTTGGCATAAATCCTGAAAACAATCTGAAACCAGAAGTGCCCACTTAAATCAAACCTGACATATATAGATGTGGGAGCAGCAACAATGAGCTATTACGCCTCCGCTAAATGTAGATATATGAACTTGTGGGTGCACTACCGCAAGATTTAGATAAAACGATATGACCTACAATATAAATGTGGAAACTTCATAAAGTTTTTATAAAAAGACTTGTTTGATGAAAGCATGTATATAGAAAAGTACCTATCTACAGTCCAAATATGAATCTCCGTCTTTTTAAAGCCGGTTAAAATTAACTTATTTAAATAAACATAGTAGCTAAACGCTTAGACGGTCTAGTCTTTATAAAATACCAACAGTCTCTATTGTTCTTTGCATTCAATAAAAGTCGCACTGCGTAGTTCCAATTGTAACATCACCTTCCGTTAATTCACAAAGGACAAGAAATGTGCTTTTCAAGGATATTCAACTTGTAAACTAAAAGAATTTCAATCACTTACGTCCTTGGTATCGATACCCAGTTAGATACGCTAAGTAAAATTTTATTTGCACGGAAGGCGAAAAGAGGAGTAGGTGTAAAATACCTTGAACTATCTGAAACAAGCAACTATTGCTGTAGAAATTACGTCATAGGTTTCTATTCCTAATATTTAGAAATACATTTTTTTACACGTACATATATACATACACACCATTCACAACCCAATAACATATTATTATCTACACCAAATAAATAGAATACGTAGATAAGTACATATATTTGGGTAAACAAGTATCATTTAACAAAATAAACAACGAAGAAGAAATAGGAAGAAGATGTAAGATAACATGGAAAAAATTTTGGTCCCTTAAAGAAATTTTAAAAAGAGATTATTCTATAAATATGAAAAAAATTGTATTTGATACTTGTCTTTTGCCTTGCTTATTATATGCTAGCCAAACATGGATTTTTACAAAGAAAGTTAAACAAAAAATTACAACAACACAAAGAGCTATGGAAAGAAGTATATTAGGATTAAGAAAAATACATAAAATTAAAAATGAAAAAATCAGACAAAAAACTAAATTAACAGATGCAGTCACACATGCTCTACGTATAAAATGGCAATGGGCGGGTCACATCTCACGATTTACTGATAATAGATGGACGTTTCAAAGTACGAAATGGACAGGGCCGCGAGGTAAGAGGAACGTTGGTAGACCAATAAGACGGTGGACTGATGATATATTAGAATATACAGGAAAAGACTGGTTTATGATAGGCAGAAACAGAGAGTTGTGGAGAAAGATGGAGGAGGCCTTCACCCAAAGAGGGGTCCATATCCAAGAATCGAAGAAAGAATTACACTAACAATTAGTTATTAAGAAAAAATATAAAATAGATTAGATACTAACAATACTGTAAATATATTAGGAATATGGAAATAAATAAAAGGCTTTATTATTATTATTATCTACACCAAAATTCGGTAGCCAATACACGTTATGGATAATGTACTACTTTATCTCTATTACATTTATTTGGTACTTCATTTACGTACTGTAATTAAAATATATACTTTAATATGTAAATCAATGATTCTTAACCTTTTTTTTTTTGTTGCGGCACATATTTAACGATTTCAAAATTTGGCGGCACACAAAGAAAAAGATAAAAATTATTTACTTACTACAACACACTGCATAAATAGTTTAATGCAAAAATGTTAAATATTTGCAAAATTTGGCGACACACTTTTAAAATTTGGCGGCACACAAAAGTGCCGCGGCACAGTGGTTGAGAATCACTGATGTAGATCACAATGTAATACATTACTTTAGAGTGAACCAAACCTATTGACAATAGCACAGATAAAAGAATAATTTCTCTTTTTTATGACAATACCTACCCCTGGATGAAAATTATCTTAAACTTATCAAAGAATAGCTGATTTTGCTAAAAGTAAACGTTCCTTCATTATAAAAATTTGTTTAAACCAAGAAACTGCCGAGTTTAAGAAATCCGGAAGATAACTTTCACGTCATTCTCCATAAAGGGGGTTCCAGTAAAATTCGACATTTTAAGGTAGGTAGAATTTCTTTCAGAAAACAATTATTTGGCCCACCCTTAAATTATCATTTATCGAATTAAGGTATTTAGTGTGTATTATATTTTTCATTGCAAATTTATCGGTAATTACATTTATTTTTCTGGATTTGGCTTATTGTGCATTTTGTCTAATGTATTCTTTAAGTATAAATACTACATAGTCTTTAAGCATAAATACTACTAGTATAAAAATAAAAATTAAAAATAAAATTGAACATAAAATATCTAGTGTCATAGTACCTCAATATGACCCGGACATTGTATGTGAACATATTTTTAATTTAATTGAACATGAAGCTAGCAGTGAATTTAAAACAAAAACATTTTCAACTAGTGTAAAATCAAAGTTTTGTGACTGGGCCACGTTTGGTATTTATAAGTCTAGGGCTAATCTTTACGAACTTTACGAAAAACGAAGCTATATATCCGATCCCTTATTTCATGAACATGTAAAATCTTATTCGAAAATATTTAAAAAGGTTTGTCATACAGCTAAGTCTCTCTATTTAGGTAAAATAATAACTAAATCTAAAGATAAAATAAAAGCCACTTGGAAAGTAATAAATAGCGAAACTGGAAAAGTTAATTTTCAAAACAGCAAAATAGCTTTAAATATTAATAACAAATTGGTAAATTCCGACACAGAGGTCGCGCATACATTCGAATCTTATTTTACTAATATTCCATTAATTACGACACAGGCTCTAAAATCTTCCCCGTCTGCTGCTGAAACTTTACTAACAGACAATGTTAGCAAGTCATCAGCTGTATTTAACTTTAGACATACATCATCAGTAGAAATAATGAAAATATTCAAACAACTTAATA